AATACTTAAGAAAATCCGCCTGGCTGGTCCCGCTTGTGACCTTAATGAAGGTTTACAGCAGGCCTCTAATTTTTCAAACGTTGCACAAAAACAAAAACAACCCATTTTATTTGCATGGGAAAAGTTCAGCTCGTTTCGTAAACTCCAGCGAGTGGTTGCTTTCATGCTCAGACTTAGTCCGAAACACCGGCACTACCGCACTAAAGTCAAGGAATTAACCGATCCGGTTGAATTAGAAACCGCCAAACAACGACTTTTGTTGATTTCCCAAAAGGAATCTTTTGAAGCGGAATATTTACTCCTGTCCTGCAACAAAACCGTCAAAAAGTCTAGTCGTATTGCACAGTATGCACCGGTTATGGGTCCTGCATTCCTCATTCGTTCAACTGGGCGAATTCGCCGCCTAGTTGAAACTGAATATGACACAAAACACCCCATAATCCTTGATGGAAGGCATTCTTTGGTGAAATTGTTTGTAAGTGATATTTATTATCGCTATCAGCACCAGTTCTTAGACTACCTGCGAGCTGTAATTCACTTAGAGTTCGCAATCTTGAACCTTCGCTCTTTATTGAAGTCCATTGAAGTCCACTGCCTTATATGTAGGAAGCGCAAAGCCAAAACTGTCACACCTATGATGGCAGAGCTTCCAGTTGAAAGGCTTGGTTACCGCCAGCCTCCCTTCACAAACTGTGGTGTTGATTACTTTGGACCCTTTTACGTCTCAATCAGGAGGAGTTCTGAAAAACGATGGTGCTTCCTTTTTACATGTATGACCACCAGAGCTGTACATATTGAGATTGTCTCATCCATGGACACGAGTTCGTGTGTAATGGGAATCGAAAGATTCATTGCCCGTCGCGGCACTCCATCAGTCATTTGGTCTGATAACGGCACCAATTTTGTGGGAGCCGAGAAAGAACTCTTGAATTGTATTCAGTCGTGGAACGATCAAGCACCCCCAGAGCTGGCGAAAAAGGGTATTAAGTGGAAATTTAACCCCCGGCAGCCCCGCATGACGGTGGTTCTTGGGAACGTCTCGTTCGGTGTTGTAAAAGGGTATTCTACGCAATAATAGGAAGTAGAAAGCTCACTCCCGAAGTCCTTGAAACAACTTTCTGTCTTGTAGAACAATCATTGAACGCTCGACCTATAACATCAGTAAGTACAAGTCCGGATGGTTTCGAGGTGTTAACTCCTAATCATTTTTTGTTAGGCCGAAATGGTACTAGCTTTCCTTCTCTCTCTTTCCAGGAGCACTTCGACCATCGAAAGCAATATATCCGAGCGCAAAGCTACGCCAACGCAATTTGGAGTCGTTGGCTGCGAGATTATGTGCCAGCCCTGAATAAACGCAGTAAGTGGCACTCCGATAGTGACGTTATTTTAAAAACAGGGGATTTAGTGTGGATTGTTGACGAACGCAGCCCAAGGGGACACTACCCTCTGGCTCGTATAAAAACCCTTTATTACGGAAAAGACAACATAGCCCGATCCACCGTAGTTACCACCCGCTCCGGGGAACTAACTCGACCGGCCGTAAAACTCGCACCCGTTTTTGAAAAGTAGTCAATTATATGGCAAAGTCTGAACTTCTAGTTAAAAGTTAATGAGCGGAAGGAGGTCTTTCATTTAATTCGACTTAATTTTTTTCAGTCTTTATTTTTTTCGCATTTTGAACTTCTGTATAACATCAGTAAGTGCAAGTCCGGATGGTTTCGAGGTGTTAACTCCTAATCATTTTTTGTTAGGCCGAAATGGTACTAGCTTTCCTTCTCTCTCTTTCCAGGAGCACTTCGACCATCGAAAGCAATATATCCGAGCGCAAAGCTACGCCAACGCAATTTGGAGTCGTTGGCTGCGAGATTATGTGCCAGCGCTGAATAAACGCAGTAAGTGGCACTCCGATAGTGACGTTATTTTAAAAACAGGGGATTTAGTGTGGATTGTTGACGAACGCAGCGCAAGGGGACACTACCCTCTGGCTCGTATAAAAACCCTTAATTACGGAAAAGACAACATAGCCCGATCCGCCGTAGTTACCACCCGCTCCGGGGAATTAACTCGACCGGCCGTAAAACTCGCACCCGTTTTTGCTCCTTTGGGCGCGGAAGATGTTCGCGCTTAAATTAATGACGTCATTATAGCGCGAAAGTGAAAAAGCTAAAATTAGGTTTGCTTAGACAAAAGGCCTTGAAAACTACTGGTTTGTCCGATTAAGGCCAGTTTGCCATCAAAATGTTTATAGATTTTTGAGATTGTTGAAAAACCGTATGATAACATGTTAACCGGAAGATGTTTTCCTTATTTTATATTATCTTTATATTGTCATATTATCTGTTTAAATTGCCGATAATTTACAGATGTTGAACCAGGTTTTTTAGATCTTACAGGATACGAGAGTGCGCCACATTTTGTTCTTGTTTCGAGAATATGACACATTTTGTGATTTTGTGAAAATTTTTGTATATTTGAAGTGCTCCTTTAAATAAATTGGTCAACCTGAAAAGGACGATCAAATACTGGCATTTTTAAAATCTCTGTCTTTGTTGGCATAAGTTCTAGTCCTCTCTCCGAACTCGTCGCCAATGTTGATGAGCAAGTTAAAAAATCATGGAAGATGCATGATATGTTTAAGAAAGCGAGCAGCTCAAGGGAAACTTTTAACACCTCACAAATTTTGTCCCACTTTTCTCAGTGGTGGATTTGCGAAAAATGATCACAGGTGAATTTTTTTTTGAATTTGACCTCAGAAAAACCATTTCTTTCAGGTGGTATAAAAAATCCGTCAAAATGCCTAATTAGAAAGTCGAAACTTGACTGAATAAAAGAACCACCCCGATCATAAACACTCCGCACTTCCTTCGAAAGTCGAAACGAAAATAATACGTTTCTTTTTAAACGTTTTTCGTGATTTTGGGGGTTCAAAAATAGCTTCGTTACGAGTGGACCTGTTAATTAAAAAGATAATTCTAATGAGAAATTTGCTTTTGCGAGGGAAAGATTTTCCAACATTTTTCCGAATCGTTTATTTCTTTTTTGAATTGTTATTTTTGGCGGGGCGTCGTTTTGAGATTTCAAACACGAATTAGGGGCAAAAATTGTGAAAAGTTAAATGTCTTCTGAAAATTTGATGCTATGAATGCGTTAAATATTTACAGTTGAAGCCATCCCTCTATCTGTACAGTGATTAGGGAATGGTTCAAAAAAAAGTTTCTTGGTTTCGGAAAAGCCAACCTTGACATTTTTGTAATAAAATGCAAGGCTGTGATTATAACTAGCGTCTCTCAGAGCACAATGTCTCAGATTTAGACCTATTGGTTCAACGAAATTGCCTTTAAAAAAGTTTAAATTCTGTTGGCGGTCTTAAACTAATAGCAAACGGGAAAAATTTTGACTGGTGAAATGAGCGAATTTCTGGAGTGGTTATGTACCAATATCGTTTACAAATCTGCTCCTGACTCTACGCACCAGTTTACTCGAAAAAACTTGATTGAACATCTTCATTTCATGAAAAGTAGTCAATTAAATGGCAAAGTCTGAACTTCTAGTTAAAAGTTAATGAGCGGAAGGAGGTCTTTCATTTAATTCGACTTAATTTTTTTCAGTCTTTATTTTTTTCGCATTTTGAACTTCTGCATTTTGAATTTTGATTTTATTTAGCTCAACTACAAATTCATTCGCTTAGAAGGAGGCAATATTTGTTCTTCTATGCTCTTCAAAAAAGAAGTTACAAATGGGCAAAAAAACGTGAATATATTTCAGGAAAAAAAAGCCAACAGGCCGCGATATCGTAAAGTCAATAAAGCACCTGAATGCGCTTTAACTTAATGGTTAAAAAATTATACGTAATACTTTTGTTGTAATTTGTGTGCCTTGTTGTTTTTGAGCCAAAATTTAATCAAAAATTTTTTTAGGAAGACACGACGCAGAAACAGTATTTTAAACGAAACAAAAAATTTCAAAAAAAAATTGAAACTTTAAATGATAAGAGTAGAATTTTTTTTGTTTAATTGCGTATACAATTATTTATTGAGAGACTGAAACTGGAAATATCAAAACAGTCAAAAGGTGGCCGATCATTAACGCATTAAGAAAAACCAAAAAGCGGTTTGATGAATGTTCAAACCCCAACATGTAATCAAAAATGATCGTTCGTAAACTTTTTTGGTCTGAATAAAAAAAATCTTCATATATAAATTCCGTTGCGCTCTTTCAAAGTCGGAACAATTGTTTGATCTTAGTTTTTCCTCATTGTAAAAAAACTTTATATAGAAAAACATACGAAAAATATATAAAAAATAAGTGGTGTATTTATACAAGCGAATAAGCGAAAGCAGTTTTTAAAAAACGGCGATAGCGAAAAGCCTATATCACCGGTAAGCAAAAAGCCTACCGTTAATATATTTAAATAGGTCGCAAGTTCAAGATAAATAGCTGGATCGCTTTTTGTTATACTTCGAACAGTATTTATATTATATTTCAAAAGCCATGTTTTTTTAGCAAAAAACATACTTTTTTTGGCAAAAGCCATATTTTTTGGCAAAGGAAAAATAAAGTTTGAGTTTTTGACTAATTTTTTTTATCTGTCAGTAATTTATTTACAAAAACTATCTTAGCAGCATGTACAATTGATTGAAAATGAAATGAGTTTATTTTGCATTATAGTTCTCAAATTTAATACATTCCTTATACTCAAAATTACCACCTATTGTAACATATGACAGGCCCACCAACTAATTTCTTTTTCAATTTTTTTTTCAGATTTAAAATATTCATTTGTTTACCTATTTTTCCCAAATAAGGATAATTTGCCAAAAAACATTGAAAATTTATGTAATTCCAACTAAAGTAACTTGATATATTTTGTTCTGTAACTCGGAAGATAAAACGTTTGAAAATGTCATTTTTTCTTCTCCGTGAGCTCATTGGGGCTTTTACAATTTTCGGTTGGAAAAATCTCAATGAGCCTATTTCTCAAAAAATTTACTCTAGCTCACCATGAGTTCCGTCACTCCATTTATCCTGCTTCAACTCACAGGGCACTTGATAATCCAATGAGGCATACCCGCTGCTGTTGAAATCTATGAAAACAGCCCACACTCTGAAGTTGTAGTCGGTCCCAATTCTCAAATTCTCCAATCGTAATGAACTCGCTTCGGAATCGGCTGAAAACTGTTCGTTTTCAAAGTCCAGGTTTCTGTACTCCACAATGAAATAGGAACTGTGCCCCAAGTGGTCCCAAGTTAGGGTCAGTTTAGTCCCGTCATTGTCGGTGACCTTGAAAAAGAGTCCAGAAATTAATGAAATACGTAACCAAAAGTTGTGAGGCTCAGAGCTTGTACCATTTATAACATCGCATGCGAAGTTACAAATTTTTTTTTGCAGTGTCCGAGTCAATTTTGTATCTATTAGTACGTTCAAATACTCGAGAAGCTGCTGTATATTTTCGAAGCAATTATGGTGATATTTTAACTAGAATTTGATTTTTTCCTGAAAAGTGTCACGCGCAAGGGCTTTAAACGTGTAATTGGGTTTTAAATAGACTGAATGTTTTGTTTGTAAACAAGCCGAAAAAATTGCATGCCGAATCTAGTTTTTCGGACCAAATTTGTTTTTCTTGTTTTTCAGACCAAATGTCTCAACAACGCCCAAAAACTCTTATTTACATGCAAAACTTGTTCAAAAATGGGGGAATGCTCTGTTTACAGAATTTTGTCTGTTCCAATTTTTTGCTACTTATTACCTTTGCGATAAGCAAGGGTATTGCAATCGGGTACTGGACTTTTTCCTCGGTAAATAACTTTGTTCACAGGACTCTTTTTATGTGGACTCTTTCCCTGGAAGCCTGTTAGCAGCAAATTAACCGCAACAGATACATTTTTCGTCCTATTCGAAATTATCTCTTCTGTTCAAAATTATTTTTTTAAATCTTAGTTGTATTTTTACCAACTCGATTTGTTAAAACTTTATTTCCATTTATTAAAATTTGTTTTGAATTTTTTTTTCTTTTTTTTCGGCTTGATGAGTTTCGGCCTACATTATATCGGCCTAGTGGCCTCATTTTGCGGCGTTCGACGATCGAAAAAATTGTGTGTGTGTGTGTTTTTTGAGGAGACCGGGTTTTGAAAACATTTTACTAGTATTTTTTTTGGCTTTTTATTTACTTTTTCTTTTCGTTTTCATAGGTTTCGATCCCTAAATTATTTCGACTTGATGGTCTCATATTGCGTCATGCGACGAGATGTTTGTATGTGTTTTGAGGGTGAAGGTTAATTAGTACGTTTTTTGAACTTTTTTTCGTTCGGCGTAAAGGGTTTCTGCTAAAGTAGTTTCACCTTTATTACCGCTGGATAAACTTTCTTTCGATGCTGATCGTACATTCTATTGTCTTGACACGTTTTTTTTAAATCCAGCCTTATCTATTTCAATAGATCTAGTGTTTTTGACATTTTTGATTTTTGTACGATTTTTTTCCGACTTAGACGCCTTCATGTTTTGTGTCGCAAGTGGTGCGAAGCTCAGCCTCGCCTCTGTGTTATAGTTGTAGAAAACGGACGATGTAAATTGGTCAGTCTATTTTTTTCTTATTCTGACTTTTTCTCTTTCTAGAAACTGAATATTTTGAGTTTTTTGGTTGCACGTGATAGTTATTTCAGTTTTTTGTTAATTTTCCATTTGAGTTTATCTGGTTCCAATTAATTAGGCGGATTTCCTATTTTTCATGTGAACATCTTATTTTGAATTTTTGCAATTGGCACGTTACCGTTGGTGTTATGGTTTTATTATTTATTAAAATTTAAAAGATTTAATTGTTTTTTTTTTACATGTACGCCTTGTTTACTGCTACTTCTACTAACTACTCCTAATTTCGGCTGTTTTATATGATGGCTGGATTTTGACTCGGCTGGCTTCTATCAGACCAGAAAGTCTTTTTAACCTGAAGATTCAAGGGGTCGTTGGGAAGTGTGGCGGAGTTAGTTTCGACAGCGTCACTTCGTTGCTGATTGGCTTCCGTAATCACTCGTAGTCTGTGTCTAGTTGCCGGCTGCAGATTTTCGAAAGTGTAGGAAAGACTGCCATTATTTATCTTTGGTTCATATTGTAAATCCTGGAAGGTTGGGTTGATTTCACTGTTGTAGCCTAAAATATAGCGAAAAAGTCTATCATTATGAACCACCAGACTGAATTCTTCGGTCATAATTGAAATTGTATTTAAAAAATTAAACTAGCGTTAAATAACTAACATAATGTAATGAATTTTCGCATGGCGAGCAAATATACCATTGTGAACATATTTACTTTTATTATTTTAATTGTTTTTTCATCAATTTTATTAAATACTCCGCCTTTAGCCATAACAACAACACGTTAATCTACCATGAAAACAATTGTTTTAAATTGGAAACACCTTTGTTCTGATCAAAATTATTATTAATTTATAAAAAAACAATTCCCATTCAATTTGGCATGGAATACTCAAAACAAAGTGCAACTTCAAATCATCAAGCAAAGAAAAATTTAAACTCTTTGATGAACAAAAATCGAGCATCCGGTCAATAATTAAACGAGATCAGCGAGATAAAATTCTCAAAAAGCGCCGGCGCTACAATTGGTACTATTTACACAAACGAAGCGTAGTGTATTATTATGAAGAATTTTTTTTCCAACCTAAATCGCAAATAAAAGTGCTCATTGATGGCACTTTTGGTATTTTTCAAATTAATCATACTTAGGACTTTTTAAACGAAAGCGACTTAATAGCATATGCTGCGGCTTTATTTTTGGCTAGTGTAAGGTCCTGTTAAAAGCAACAGGTATTATGAAAAAGTATAGGATTTGATGTATTTTTTTGGTTTTTTTTTTGCGACGCTCTAGAAAATTATTGAATTTTTGCAAAAATTTCATCACTTCTCAAAAAAATAGAGCCGACTTTCAAAAAAATGGTTTCAATGAACAAACTGGTGGTTCTTTTATATGCCTGTTTATTTTGCTAGTCTCTTTTTTTACCCCACGTTCTACGGCCTTCGAAAGGATTTTTGACCTATTTGTTTTTTGTTTCAATTTGTCAAATACTGAATGTGCAAATCTGAGATGAATATTTCAATAAAGAAACAAATCATAAGGATCCCCTTTTAAAGCGGCTAGTTCCGTAATTTTCCCTGTTGAATATGCTTTACCCTATTTTTCTTAGAAAAGTCGATAAGGTTATCGCAAAAACAAATTTCGCGACGCTCTAGAAAATGGTTGTAATTTTGCAGAAATTGCATTTCTCAAAAACAGTAATGGCAATTTTCAAAATATATGCTTGTTTATTTTGCTAGTCTCTGTTTTTTTACCCCACTTTCTACGGCATTCGAAAGGATTTTCGACCTATTTGTTTTTTTTTTTGCCTCATTTTGTCAGATACTAAATGCGCAAATCTGAGATGAACGTTTCAAGGAAAAAACAAATCATAAGGATCCCCTTTTTTGAGCGGCTATTTGCGTAATTTGAAAGAAAAAAGTTATGGCTTCAAACAAGCCCGTTTTTGATATTTTTTTGTTATTTTTTTTTAAATTTTGTGACTTTTCTCAAAAACTACCTTGCAAAACGGAGATTACGGGTTGAACCGAAAGCAAAAAAAAATTAATTGTGCAAATCTTCCCTGTGCAAGCGGCTAAACCTTGTAATTTGAGAAAAAAATTGTCATAGGAAATTCTCTTTTTTTCAAAAACTAACCCGCTGATTCTTTGTTACTTCAATTAAACCCGCTGATACTTCAAACCCGCTGATTCTTTGTTACTTCAAATCTTTGTTACTTCAAACCCGCTGATTCTTTGTTACAACGCTGAGGTTGTTACTTCAATTAAAATAACATTGTGCTTAGATTTTCCCTGTTTAATATGCTTTACCCTATTTTCTGAGAAAAGTCGATAAGGTTATCGCAAAAATCAATTTTTTGGAGTTTCTATCGTTTTTTTTATAAAAAAAAATATATTTTTTTCACGAAAATTACTAGTTGAATCTTATAATAAGGTTTCAATCTAAGAAACAGGTTATAAAAATCTTCCCTGCATAAGATGCCCTTCCCATGTTTTATTAGAGAAAGGTGAATGCATTGAGGTAAAGTCAAGTTTTACAATATTTGATCTTTTCTTCGAATCGTATTTCACTTTTTCAAAAAGTACCTAACCAAGTCGGTAAAGAATTCAGTTGAAGGAACGAATAGTAGTTTTCTCCTCTAAGTAAACGGCTAATCCCCTACTTTACTGAAGAAGTCTCTAGGATTTTGCGTAAAGTCTATTTTTCGAAACTTTGAAAAATTACGCATTTCGGTAGCAGTACAATCAAAGATAAAAGTTTTTAAACAGGTGCATCCAGCATTTTCTGGGTTTCTAACTTGCCTCCAAGTAATCGTGGCGCAAGTTTGAGGACGTGACACTCCTGATCAACATGTGGGAGATTCAAATCCGGAACAATGAAATAGTTTTTCTTAGCCGAATTTTTGGCAATTTGATAAGAAACTGCAACGGCTTTATTGGTGGCTAGGGTAAGTAAAATTACTTGTGGTCGTGTTACTACTCCTCATCTCAGCAAAAAAAATACAAATCTTATCTGGGATCTACTTAAGAATCTCCCCTCCTTTCAAGGGGGGGATTGAAAATGGTCGATTTTCGACCAATCAGAATGCAGCAAAATAGGAATTCTCAACAGAAAGATCAGTGCTATTTTACTGTATTTATTTATAGGGGTGGAGATTCTTAAGTAGGTACCATAGGAGGAAGGGGGGGGGGTGTTGTGATTCAGTGTTTTTAGTATGTTATAACCTTGACCTCTATTATCTATTTACGTACCAGTCAATGTTAACTCTACGAAGTCCAGTGGACTTCGGTTCACTAGTTGCTCTTTTTAGACTACAGTCAGTTTTAATTCAACCAATACTTTTATTCTCTTTTAACTTTAGTTAGATACAATAGTTACCAGTGGTACATCTTAACTCTTTATTATGGCGCAGTCAACAACTGATTCGAACCTGAGGGGAATACCCGCCTTTTGGCCGAACCACACAGTAGAACCTCCCACCCAATGGAACAATTGGATAGACCAATTCCATTTGGCTATTATCGCGAAGGAAAATCTAGACTTAGATAACCTCAAAGAACCAATGGAAGGGGAGACGACGTTACCGATCCTAGAAGGTGCCCAGGAGTCAGAAACTGACCAACAGAGGAAAGCCAGGGAGGCCAGAAACAAAGAAACAATGCGAGTCTACGAACACGCTGAAGAGAAAAGACTAGCAGAAGAAAAACGGAAATTCGGAGGAATGAGTAGATATGAGGCCGATAAAAAAGTAAGGTCAATCCTATACTTGGCCTTAGGAGCGGAAGGCAAAAGAGTTTTCGCCCAGAAACATCCAAGGGTAAAAGTCCTAGGAATCTCATTCAAGGAATTTTACGAAATGCTAGAATTGGCTTTTATCAAACCAACCAACATAACATTTGAACGATACAAACTATTGAGCAAGAAACAAAAGGATAGAGAATCCTATGAACAATTTTGGGGCGCGTTATCAGATTTAGCAAGATCATGTGAAATTGGAATTAATGCAGAACAGGAGTGGATCAGAGACGTATTTATTTTTAACATGAAAAACTGCGACTTACAACGTAGACTACTTTTGGAAACTCTCAATCCGTTGGATGCACTAAACCAAGCAATAATTGACGAAAAAGGCTACTATAACCACCTCAAACTAACCAATATGACTAGATCTTTCAACACGACAGGAAATAGTGGGAGAGGGTATAAAAACTTCAACAACGTAAAAAAGGAACCAAACATAGAAAGATCAAATACTTGTATGAAATGCGGGAATGCGTTTACCAAGGGTCATCTGAATGTGTGTCCGGCGAAAGAAATTGTGTGTAATATTTGTAAATATAAAGGACATTTTGGAAGACTTTGTAAATCGAAAGGAAGAAAACCCGCTGTAAATATTGTAGATGAAGCTGTAAATAGTCAAAATTGTTCATATTCCCCAGAAGACTTTCAGGTGAGAAGCGAAAAAAATTTTTGCGGAGTGATTAACGCTTGGACCGAAGAGGGGATAAGTGATAACGATGACTAATCCGTTCTCAACATTAGAACAATCTACGATACCAATGGTTTGGAAACCAAGAAACTTGTCAACATCGGTTTGGGAGACGATGCAATAGTCAACTTGAACATTCCAGTGGATTCGGCAAGCCCAGTGAGCTTCCTGAAACAAAATGTACTTCACGAATTGAAGTTGAGAAATCCACAGTTGAAGATTCAGCCAGTTGAGAAGAAAACGAGGGAACTATATTGCGGATTCACTAACGACACAATCAACATCATCGGGAAAGTGGTAGTGAGATTACAATCCAATGGATGGATCGCGGACGAAACCCCATTTTTTATCACTTCTGAACATGAGAGGAACATCCTGGGTAACGACAATCTCCCGAGAATTGGAATAGAGATAGCCCAACGACAGCCTCTACTACCCGTCAACAACATATCACGCCCAGAGTTGTGTAAGTTAAATAACTATTCAGACACGACCCTTAATCTGTATCATAGGTACAAAGGGCTATTTAACAGAGTGGGGAAAATACCATTGGACAGAAAAGTTACTTCCAAATGTAGGAGGCACTTCCAAATGTAGGACTCAAATGTAGGAGGCCCTTCGATGAGTTACACACCAACGGTTGGAAATTCTGGCAAAAAGAGGAGAACATTCATCACGAGCTCGAAAGATCAACCAAGGAGTACCGTAAAAAGCCAGACAAATACGCAGACAACGGTCACTTTACCAACGGGCACAAGTGACGACCCAATTCGAGTTGATAGCTCTCCGGAGAAGACAGTGGAGACACCAAAGACCACGATACCCGCAAAACTTCGTGCAAGAAGAAATCCAGGCCCCCCGAAATTCTATGGTGATAGACGATTTATCGACCAAGTGACGCTCGGAACGGAGACCATTAGTGCAGTAGACTCCGATGACGAACCGCTAATTACGGTTTCCGGCGCAAAGAGTCCAAAACAAAATTTATCATACTGTACGACGTCCCCCTCGGATTATCTTACACCCATTGATGAGATCCCACGTCATACGATTTTGGTTGCTGAAACCA